AAAGGGGGAGTATAAGGGACCCAAAATAGAGAAAATTTGCCTGTGGTTACAGAAGATATGGAATAAATTAACTGACGAAGACCTGTGTGCCAAATGAACTTTTCTCTCAAAGTTTACACTGCTGGCAAATGTAAATTAGGATTAAAATTTAAAAACTAATTAATACAAATAAAGTAAAATCTGTGGAAAATTAACAATAAAATACTTTTTTCACAAAATCTATAAAGGACCTTTTTATTTCTCAAAAAAAACCCTGGGTAACAGTTATTCGTCGCCACGCTGTACTTTTAAATTGCAGTCTGAGCCTTTTTTGAAGAAGATTTCAAGGAATTTACTCATAGCGTCGCTAATATAAACGAAACAGAGAGTTTTAAGGAAAAGTTAAATATTTTTTTAGATCAATCTACTCAAAACTTCCTCAAATCGAAAAACCTATAATTCGTCCGACGTATTCGTCCGTGGTAAAAGAAGTGAAAATATTTTTTAATGGAGGAGATATTTATTACGTCTACATTTTGACAGTTCAGCCTAAAATTGTTGAGGCCGAAATATGTTTTTCATCAGTAGGTTTTGTATGTAAAAACTGCAGGTCAAGCTTAGAAGACTCCGCTTTGAATGCTTTGCTGCTCTTACGAAATTATTTTAAGTGCAATAATAACAACACCGGCAAAAAAAGGGTGCGTGTTTTTAACCAGACCCACCTACCAACATGTATTCGTTACCACGACAGTCGGGTCTTCGTAACCGGAACGACCCTGATTTATATTTGGCCAAGGACTGTCACTCCAGCAACACTCCCCAAAAACTCTTTGGGGAATTTGTATGCTGTTACAACTACAACAACAACAACCAACATGTATTTCGACCCGCTGAATCCAATTCTGAGATCCGTTTGACTCGTACACCCTCAAAATTTTTAGTAATTGGCGAAAAAAAATTGCAAAAAATTCTCCATTCACCATTTCTTTTTAGAGTAGAATAAACATGTTAAGAGAAATTATAATAATATAATAATAGATTGGCGCTTACACATCTGTTAGTGTTTGTCCGAGCTTTTCCTACGATTTGTGGCGTGCGCCTTGATGTTGTCACACAAAGCGGAGTGACCTACGTTCCCACGACAGTCGGGTCTACGTAACTGGAACGACCCAGATTTATATCTGGCCAAGGACTGTCACTCCAGCAACACTCCCCAAAAAGTCTTTGGGGAATTTGTATGCTGCTACAACAACAACAACAACCTACAATTTTACGCCGACTCCGAACGGCGATTGTATTTTTATGAGAAGCTGTTTTTCATGGTAGAAATACACTCGGAGGTTTGCCATTGCCTGCCGAGGGACAACCGCTGTTGAGAAAAATTGTTTTTCTATATTTTTTGCGATGTTGCTTTGACCAGGGCTTGAACCCAGGCGTTTCGGAGTGGAAGCGCGCACTGCTTACCACTACACCACAGCGGCCGAAATAGAGAGAGAAATTGTTTTTGTATATTTTTGTTTTATTTATTAATTGTTACTTTCAAAAGTACCTGGAATTTACATTGTTATTTGTGATGTATACGTCCTCAATCACATGGTTTTTTAAATACAATTAAAAAAATGTTCTACTTTAAAATTTGTCTGATTTAATAAATATCGCTAGCGTAGAGTGCAAAGTTGCCAAGTCCCAATTTAAAAATTATACAGGAGAGGAAAAAACTTCTTATAGCCATTTTCTTCAAGTATTTTGCAAAACTTTGAATACAACATTTTGCGTCCTATATCAAAATATGATTTTTCATTAAAAGTGAAGTTAGCAACTTTTCGCTCTAAGCTAGCGATATATGAGTTCTACAATCAGTTTATCGTAAATTTTAAATAGCTTTATTTCATGGTGTATTTAAATGCTTTCAGATATTGATTTTTTACTCATATTCATAAAATTTATGACTCAATTTTAATCCCGGGATAAATCCTGGGATCTCGGGTTTACCTAAAAAATATCCCGAAATCCCGGGATCACAATTTTGCTGATATTTTAGCATCTCTCGCGGGCACCGAAACAGACAACTCCTTGGAGAAGAGCCCTCGCCCAGGCACGTCAGGAGTCATCTCTACGAACTGACGGACGAAGTCCAGAGGTACATCAAACAACCTCTGGACCCGACAGCTTATGACGGGCCTTGAACGGAATTCACAGAGAGGCAGTCTCGACTTATGTAGACTCTCGACAACCACCAGACGTGGACGAGCCAGAACTTCGTCTGCCTCTAAACGTATCCCCGGCATGCAGAGAGTCGCCCCATGACTGCCAGCATCTCTTCGCATGCCCACTATATCCCACCCTACTAACGCCCCTGTCCCTTGCACAGACCCCGTCTAGGCTGCATGCTTCCTGGGGTTACCGCTAGTATTTAGAGCTTGACGACAAAGATTGAGGTACTAACCGAGGTGGGCGGGGTTGTTGTAGCGGCTAGCTACAACAACAACTCTCCTCTGTTGGCTGGTTTCCCCGGTTTGAACAGTGGGACCACTCTCTCCCTCTTCCATATGTCTGGAATGACGAGAATGGCCATTCACAGGTTGAGAACCTTGGCTACATAATCTACTCCCGCAGGGCCCACATTTTTCAGCATCAACATGCATAATCCGTCGGGCCCAATGGCTTTGGAGGCTTTCGCTACCGATGGCTACCTAAACTTCACCGCTGGTGAAATCAAGAGGCGCACTTGTTGCTGGCACTTTGTGCAGCTTTCTGATCATTCGACGCTTGGCTTTGTCCACCGGAGGATGCAGTATAAATTTCCGGCTAAAATAGCTCGCGCATCGCTCCGCGTCCGCCGAAGCACGGGCGCCGAAAGATATTTCGACTCTGTCGTCGTGCTTTTTGGGATTGGACAGTGACCTCACGGTTGAACATAGCTTACTTACACAAGAGGTAAAGCTTCCAGTGTTCAGATGCTCTCTCCACTTTTTCCGCTTATGTACGTTCACAAGCTGCCGAATCTCCGTGTTGAGATCCCTGATACGGGGATTTCCGGGATCGGCCTGATGAAGGTTGTCACGCTCATCAGCTAGAACAGCCGCTTCAGCAGGAAAGTTTGGACGGGGGTCCGTTATGCCACCTGCTGGTACGAAGCGAGCTGCAGCAGCAGTGATAATCCTGCGGAACTTACGTTCACTTAGCGCACCTATATCAGGGTGATATGCTGCCGGGCAGCAAGCGACAGGGGGTATATACATCGCCTGACAACCAATGCACTGACATTCTAGGGTGGTATCCCTGCGGTCGATGTCTGCTTCAATAAAACGATACTTCACGGTGTGGTGCGTGATGAATGCTGAGCCACCACCATTATCTCGCTCGCTGCCTCGACGGTGCACGTTGTATCCGGCAACTTCGTCTCTTGGACCGCAGCTATCAATACACCATGCCTTCCCATGAAGACGGTTATCTCCTCGATCTTACTCTGAAGTCCGTTGCAGTTGAATTGAAGGAGCTTCGTGTGGTTCGGGAGACGTGTTGTTATGGGGGTGAGGGATGTGTGTTGCCTAACCACCATAGGCTTTGTGCGCTGCTGTGGAGGTTGCCGCCCTGTGGTGGTAGTGGGTGGCATCGCAATTGGGATTTGTGACCGAGCAACGCAACACGGCCCGCGGGCCCCAAATGTTTCAGCATCAGCATACAGATTCCGTCGGGTCCAATGGCTTTGGAGGTTTTAGGCAGTTTGTGCAGCCTCCTGGTCACTGGACGTTTGGCCTCACGGTTGACCAGAGCTTACTCACACCAGAGGCGAATTTACGGGATTTCAAGTGCACTTCCCACTTTTTCCGCTTGTGCTGATTTACCAGTTGCCGAATCTCCGAATTAAGGTCCTTCAAGCGAGGATCCCCGGGATCGACCTGGCGAAGGTGCTCACGCCCATTTGCTAGTAGGGCTGCTTCAGCCGGGGAGTTTGGGCGGGCATCTGCGATGCGTCCGGATGTTATGAAGCGAGCCGCTGCGGCAGTGACTACCCTGCGGAACTGACGTTCGCCAGCATGTACGTCTGGGTGTGTGGGAAGGGCGGCGAAGCTGCTCTCTGTAACTTCCGCGAAGCCGTTCCAATCAGCTTTGTTAAACTTGGTGTAGGTTCAGTGGTCCGCGGGTGCAAAGTCGGTGGGCTTATTGTTCGAGATGATTATGGGCAGATAGTCTGATGCTAGCGTTAGCATAGGTCGTCATGATATGCTATTTATCAGACCAGCGCTAGCAATAGTTAGGTACGGTGAGTTGCTGCAGCTGCCCACAATCCTGGTGGGGCGCTTTCATTCACGGCACAGAATATCGAATCGTCTTATCTGCTAAGCCAATAGGTTTCCCCTACGATCATTAGCCAGGCTTGAGTACCAAAGATCGTGGGGCGCGTTGAAGTCATCTACTACCATTCGGTGTTCACCCCTGGGTAGCGCACCTATGTCAGGGTGATAGGCCGTATATACACGTTGAGGGGGTGGGGAAGTTTGCTGTTGCTCAGGGGAGCTGTGCTGGTTTGCACCTGCGCGTTGCGCAAGCGGATAACCGTGGAGGCTAGTGGTGCCGTTTGGCTTGAGCTACAGGGGGGCGACAAAGCTTGTGGTCCACTCCCGGTAAGACCTAAGGCCAGAACAGGTTCTTAGGTGACTCCATCCGTTGCATGAATTGCACCTAACCGAAGTGGAGTTCGGATGGAGTGGACTCTGGTAAACGCAGCAGAAGTATGCTTCTGGTCCGGGTTGGGCTCAACGCCCGCCCGGAGAAGAAGGATGCGGAGCGATCCGGCTGCAAGGCATTTCTCCATGGACGTGAAATGATTGAAGGGTATCGCCGATCTAAACGGGGTTAGGTCGCCGAAACAACAGCCCTTGATCGCGTGAAAACCGAGTCATTCCGGTACGTAGAACCGGCTGTCGTGGGAATGGTAGTTTTTTAGTCTTTACTGCCATTTAATTTTTAATCACAAAGCTGTTGATGAGTTTTAACAATATTTCCTCTTATCTAGATTCAGTGTCTACGGAAGAGTGCGGGAGTCTTTAATACAACACAGAGCAATAATGACTGCCTTTCAACACAGGACTTTTAATATCCAAATGACGCAAGACTACTTTGCTCATTTAAATCCGTTGGCTCAACGCATTGCATCTGATATAAAGACAACGCAATCAACTTATGGTCAGCTATGGTACACACTGAAGCCGAGCGAACAAAATGACATTTTGAATGAAACTCTAATCAAACCGGAAATATCTTTGAAATATTTTGAGAACTTTTCATCATCTTTAGCTTCGCTGTCATCAAACTCAACTTCATCTTCCTCCAGCTCGTCTTCCAGCGCTCGAAGTGGTTCTAGAGGCGAACATATACTACAAAGTTCGCCAAAAAACAAAGAACATAAAAGTTGTAAAATTTCAATTAGTGGTGCTTCAACAAATTCCTTGACAGATTCTTTTCTAAAACAGACGCAAAGTTTGATTTCGGGTACCCTAACTGCGCGTTCTCAGGATACAACTTTAGCGCAGCTTCATGGGAAACTAAAAGCGCCATCGTCTCCACCGCCACCACCGCCTATGTGTTTCGCAAAAACACCAGTAAAACAAACTGAAGCTAAATCAGGTTTGGTAATACCAAAAAAGTCCCACATTAAACATACGTCATCAAAAAATGAGGTGAAATCTTATGCTTTCGATGGACGAAATCTTTATACTTATGCCGTACAGAAAGTTGCCCTCAAAATTGTTTATGACGATGTTTTGGGTGCTTACCGCGACGAACATTCTCGGCCTTTCAGTTACCGTACAAATTCACAAATTGATCTGCAACAACAGTATAAACAAGCCAATTTAGGTGATATTACACTTAAAACTGCTAGTGATGAAATATGTCTACTTCAAAACAGTCCTAGCAACGAAAACACTACTAAAAACAGGGATGTCACAAAGAATTATGAACAGTTGCAACAGGAGCTAAAAAATAAATTGAATAGTCAATTAGGGAAGCCACCGAACGAGAACTCCATCAACATCACCAGCGTTAATAACATTATATATAAGCGTCTTTATGGTTGTAAAGATAATGGTCCAGCTAATAATTTCGATGCTAATAAACACTCGACATCTATATCACAGCAAGTATCGAAAGCACAGCCTGTCAATGAGAACCAGGTCACTTTCTTGCCGAAAGTAAGTCGCTGTGGAAGTGAGAGGATGTTCTCGACTGATAACGACACGGCGAATGTTACATGCTTACTTGCCAGTGCACCAAAACATCAAAACATGTCTTATGCTGTGTACACAGATGCTTATTTCGAAATAGGCGAGTCAGCACTTCTTATGCGCAATTGTAGTAACAGTGGAATTCTGACTGCTTCGTCAAACTCGTCAACTGCATCTGAAGAGGATCACAATAAGTACGAGTATGATGACGACAAAACGTTGTGTGAAGATATACGACTTTTGGAGAATGATCTAAATTTACAGAGAGGATTCGATTTTCTCAATAATTGGTAGAATGATTTTTATGCCCAATACATATATACGTATGTATATGCTTACTATTAAACAATTAAATTTTTACTACTATGGGCCATCCTGCGGACGAGATGTCTTGTGTAAAACTTAATGATGGCACGATTAATCAAATAACCGAATAATCGGTTGTTTTCATTCAGTTAGACTGGGTTCTGACACGGGAACGTCTGTTGATTATTTTCCACAATATTCTTATTCTTCTTTATTGGCGCTGTAACCCCTAATTGATTTCGCCATCTGACACCAAATGGAGATGCCAAGTCCTTCTCCACTTGGTCTTTCGAACGCAGCACCGCGGGCCGTGTTGAATACTTTCAGAGCAGGAGCGTCTCTGTCCACTCGAATGATACGTCCAAGCCAGCGGAGCGGCTGAATTTTAATTCGCTGCACTATGCCTATGTCGTTGTAAAGCTCATATAGCTCATTGTTAAATCGTCTGCGGCATTCGCCAACGCGTTAAGGCCCGTAAATCTTTCGCACAATATTTCTCTCGAAAACTTTAAAAGCCGCTTCATCGTGACGCCACCCACTACCACCACAGCGCGGCACCTCCCAAAGCAGCGCACAAAGTCTATGGCGGTTAGGCAACACACATCCCTCACCCCCATAACAACACGTCTCCGGAACTACACGAAGCTCCTTGAATTCAACTGCAACGGACTTAATAATAATAATCCCAACGGGTTCTACCCTCCATTCCCGCTCATCCGCAAGGGGGGCGCAGTCCGCATGACGTACGGAACCAGTATTTTCAATTTTTGCGCCAAGTCACGATAGGCAGGAGTTTGTTAAGTGTCGAGATCTAAAACTGTTCAGCTACAGTACTAAATTCATCAGCCGATTTTATGTCTTTATTTTAATGATTAATTTGTTGAGAGAAAACAGTATCGTTTTTTTAATGCTGAAAAGCGGATCTGATATATCAAACGTGCCGAAATGAGAGTTAAAATCCTGGCATAAGCAACGGAGTGGGTCGTGCAATACAAAATTACTTTTACAAGCTTTCAGAAATAGGGGGCCAAAAGTGTCTTGATACCCGGAAGGGAACATTAAGGCTAACTTCGCCAAGAAGAAGCGGACTTGAAATTGAGCCTGTTAGTAATTTAACTATAAAAATTGTACCAAGCATTTGCCTGCGGCTGGAAAGTGTAGCAAGATTAATAAGTTTTAATCGGCTCGTATAAGGTGGAAGGTTGTATTGAGAATCCCAACGGAAATTTCTTAAAGCAAAAAGTAGGAATTGTTTTTGAATTGGTTCTATCTTGTCTGAGTAAATTTGATACCTTGGATCCCAAACCACCGAACCGTATTCCAGAATTGGCCTAACTAATGTTGTAAACAGGGTTTTAGTGATATAAGGGTAAAAATTCTTTTGACCATCGTTTCACAAATGCAAGTACACCTTTAGCCTTGTTGACTGTCCATTAATATGAAGATTAAAATTAAGCTTAGTATCCATTGTGATACCAAGGTCCACAAAATTGTATACCTGTAGTGCGATTCACTACGCTATTTTAACAACACTTTTTATTGTTAAAGCAACTAAACGACAATATAGCTATTCATTAAACGTTTCCTTAACAACATTCGTTAGCACAAAATCAGCTATTGTCGGTAACGATAACAACGGCCGCTAATTTGACATCTAGTTTGGTGTTGTTACAAAAAACATAAATAATTCGAAAGCGCAAAAATAAAAAATTAAGTGAAAAAATGTCATTTGAGTACCTCGCTTATAGTTTATCGCGTAGTCAGCAGCAGTTTAACGCATTGAGGGTGGATCGGCGTATGTTGCAGAGTGCGGACAATCCGTTTGAATTGCCACCAACAGAGCTCCGGAAATTATACCGGCTAGGACCCAACTTGGCAGCCGATCTGGTTCAACGGTTGGAAGTGTATATATAGAAGGCTCGAGAGTAAATGCTATATCCGCCGAAAAGCAGGTGAGGCACTAGATCTTTAAGCTTAATGTACCTTTTATAATCTCTTGTATTTTCGAAGGCTCTGTCTACTTTGCGCTTTTATGCCACTGGGTGCTATCAACGACCTGTAGGAGAGCAGTGGGGCATTTCGATGAGCCAGTCATCCATAAGCCGTTGTATTCATCGTAAGACAGAGGCAATTAACAACCACTTGTTTTTAACGGAAGTCAAGTTCCCTATGACGCAAATGGAATGTTAAGCTGCCAGAGAAGTATTTTCCTCAGTGCCTTTTGTGGGGGGGAACTATTGGGGCGATCGATTGTACCCGTATTTCTATTTTGGCTCCGAAAAATGAGGAGGCGTACATCAACCATCCTGGATACCACTCATTAAATGTACAAATGGTAACCAAATTGTTATGAAAGAAGATGATTGCATAATTACCACTGCTACATATGTTACAATAGATATGCGACCCGAACTTGAAAATTTTAAACGTGAATGCGAAGTATCCGGGAGCACGAGATGACTCCTATATTTGGAGCTCCTCTGCAGTGCGGAGAGTGATGCAGCGTTCGTACGAGAATGGGAACCACAACTTGTTTTTAATAGGTAACGCTTAATAAATGTTAAAGTGTAACTCTAAAAAAAACGTTTGCAGGTGATTCTGGATACCCCCTAGAGCCGTGGCCTATAACGCCGTTACAAAACCAACCGGAGGGGTCTCATAAATTTCGCTATAATGAAGCGCTCTGCAAGGTTGGGAATCCCATCGAAAGACTTTTCGGCGTCCTCAAAGGAACTTGGCGATACCTTTCGCAAAAAAGGGTTCTTTTGTACGATCCCGGGTTTGCTGGAAAAGTCGTCAATGCGTGCGCAGTACTGCATAATATTCGTTTGGGAGAGCAGCAAACGAACGAACATGACAACTTTGCAACCGAAAGTGGGGCAGACAGACTTCTTGATAACTCTAATCGTCATCTTCCGTTGCGAAACGCATCCAAGACAGATTAGTAGCTAACTTTTTTTCCTAATTACCTCTAGTTACTTAATCATTTTTCTCCTTTAGACTGCGATCAAAATTTCAAATATATACCCCATTACCAAATTATAGCCCGACCACATATAGGCAAGTTTTAACTAACTATTTGTTTGTTATTTAATTTATATTACTTTTTTTAAATATGTAGTATAATGTGCAACTAAAACAGTATAAATTCAAGTTTCAAACCTTGTGCAATATTTAAGTAAAACTCAACAAACCTTCGCAAAAACTTCAAGTTTTTTTTATCAGCATAATATAAAAATAAAGTGCAGTTTTTTAGTCCCTCGACAAAAAAAAATCTAAAAAATCAGCGGTAATTTTTAGCTGCTTGAAACTTGCTTTTTATTATACTAAAATTGAACGGGCTACAAAACTGCATACTGAAGATTTTTCTAAAAATTCTGAATAAAAAGTTTGAAATTTTTATGAAAATTTTTTTAAATTTGATTCATTTTTATGAATTTTGTACACAGTTTGCAAGAATCATTTATATGGTTTTTGGTATAGAATGAGCTATATTTTAAATGAATATTAGCGAAAAAGATTTATGATGGATAAACTTTTGGAATATTGTGTAACTAAATTACGAGTACTTCTGTGAGTGACTGTATATAGGAACATCCTTACTAATATTATAAATCCGAAAGTCAGTTTGTTTGTTTGCTTTGCTTTCACGCCTTAACCACTTAACCGATCATCATGAAATTTTGTATACTGCTGTCATTTAGCCCAACTTAAAATATAGGATAAATTTAATCTCGATTAGACAAGGGGGCGTGGGACCACCCATACAAACGGAATTTTTCGTACAGCATTTCTCAGGAAATATTTTTGATATATTACCGGAACTTGATACGGAGATATATAAAATCATTATCCACTCATGGATGAGGGCTGAATATATTTTTAAAAGGGTTGCCACCTGTTTGAAAAGTCAAATTTAAATTGGTTATGCGCAACCTATCTGAAGAATTAAAATGTGGTTGTCTAACGAAATATTGTTAAAAATTCTTTGGTTTGAGAGTTTTGAATAATATTTACGTCTCACAAGGGTTGCCACATTTTTAAAAACTAAATTCAATTATTTTAATTTAAATATTACAGTATAAGGCGCGCAATGGTTCTGGTGGTTGATTTATCGGTGGTGACTTGAAATTTACCACTGCACAACTCAACCCTGGTGTCTCATAATGAAGCTTTAACGCATAATAATACTGGCATCACGTCCATTGGGCCAATCGTAACACATAAGAGTTCGATATACTCAATGGCGCAACAGGTCGATTTAATTTGACATTCACGGCACCTTTTCTAACTTGGCGTTTATTCGTAATGACTCCAGCGCTATCTGGCAGCCCTTTTTGGCAATAGTATTGCCTTTACCGTTACCAATAAATATTTTGAAGTGGATAATAAAAAAAATTTTTAGTAATAACTTCACTACAGCGCCAACTGGCGGGTGAAGTTTTGAAACTACACTCTCCAGAGAGCCACTCAAAAGTACACAGTAAACTTCGTTAAAATTGGTCCGGGCATTTAGAAGGATTGCACTCACCAACACACAGACACAAGAATTATATATAAACTTTTTTGCGGCGCCATGACCCCTTTTCAAATAGCCCATTTTTCTCCATGAGTATAAGATTGATTTCATATATTGCCGTACCAAGTTCCAGTATTCTACCGTGAACACTTCCAGAGATATGCAGTATGAAAAAATCGGTTTGTATGGGAAGTGCCACGCCCCTTCATATATCAAAATTTTTAGCCTATAACCATCCTTGGGACGTCTGAAGCAGGTATCCGAAATTTCAAAAAAATCGGTTCGGCCGTTCTCGAGCTTTGCGAACACATAAAAAACGGCTTTCAAAATATATATTGTTGTAGAAGATTGGTATGAATCTAAATGGTTTTGAATGAATGAAAAAGGTTGCCAACTGTTTGAAAATTTAAATTAAAACTACTCAATGATTTAAATGAACTACTAAAATATGGGTGTCAATTGAAATGGTCTTGAAAGGGCTTTTTTTTTTGAGCTTTGATCAGATGGCATAGACTTTGGTCCTCAGACGCCAGGTTGTTCCTCTTATGTTAAGTTTGTCCAG